CAGTAGCTTTGACAAGCTTGGAACAACTATTCGGTACATGCCGGTATGGTCTTGGGAAGAGATCGATGCATGCAGGATTAAGCTTTTCCGTAATCTTACTCGAGAATATGTTCGGAAATTATACAATGAATGGGGTGGAATTCCTCGGTTTATCTTGTTTTATGCTCTCAATGATGCTCAGCAAGATCTTCTTCAAAAGGCAATTAATTCGGTTGACAATAATCTGTTAAATTTTGTTGGTGAGACTGCAGATGATAACAGTGCCAGTCATAAAATCGTCCATATCTGCACGAACATACCAAAAGGAGAGGATGAAGGAGATGGAGAGGAAGGAGGTGAAGGTGTGGAAGATGTGGAAATAACGGAAGTAGAAGATAACTCTGGAGAGCCCTCTACGTCAAAATCTTCCGCAGTAACTAGACCAGATAAAATGAAAAGTGTTATAGGGAAGGGAAAACCTTTCTATTCAATGTCAACTTTAGAGTTTGCGTCCGATCATGTTTCTGAAGAGATAATGGATAAACTCATAAAGAATTATAGAGACCAGTTGGAGAATTTCGTGAAGGCTAGCTCATCGATAAGCGATTACAGTACACTCCGGGGTGCTATATTCGAGCGGATCGCTCACAGAAAGTTATTAAAAGGAGGATCGTTTAGGAGCCCGAAAAGTGTGCTTAGAAAGGTTGGGCATTTGTGGTTATAAACAATTATCCGATGTCACCACACATTTCTACTCCTTCATAATGCTCTCCCTCAATTTTCACCAACATATCATTCTCCTTATCGTTTCATCAATATTAACATCATTCAATCTCTCACTATCGAATATTAAATTATTCCTCTCTACCCACAACATTTAAATACAGATCCTTAAAGTATGTACAACAGAGCGCGCCAACGAAAAGACAATTTACATAGTCCTATCATAGTATCCCCCCCTAGTATAATACCACTATCCGATCAAAGTACCACCCCGTGTATAGTACCCCATGGTATAACGTGGTTTTGTA